ATCACGAGGTCAGCTAAGAACGGATTTTAAGAAATTAAAAAAATATATATTTAAATAATGTAAATAGCAAAACAAGGTTTGCAGGGTCAGCTAGTCATATAATAATTATGTACTTACTTAGCAGTCATTATTCTGTGCGATAAAATAAAACAAACGAGTTACCAAAAACACGAAAGGACATTAGAGGTGAAACCATTTATGCAAACTTTATTGTTAAAGTGCTATTTATTTTTGTAGCAAATTATTTGGTATAGTTTATTATAATACTTGTGAAATAAAAATAACTTATTAACAATCAACTTTATGTGATTTTTAACAAGCGACATCTTAAATATGCCAACGTGGTATAGAGTCATGGTCAACTAATAGTCGTATCGTTAAACATTTCTAAGGCCATTGACCTGGGCTGGTACGAGTATGTTTAAGTAAGTCTTTAACCATACCTATACTAAGCGAACTTAGTAGATATCTAAAAATTTTAGAACAGACTTTACTATAGGGCCGTTTTAAGGAGGTTGGAGTTTTGAATGATAGCATAGTTAGGTCCGATGAATTGTAGAATTGTAGAATTTTTCGTTAACCTTAAGGCGGTCGAAAGATTTTAGAGTCTTCTGTAGTAGATGTCGTAAAAAGAAAACGTTCCTAGTCAAAACATAAGTTTGCAAATAAAATTATGTAGCTATTATGAATCATACCACCTTAAATTCTTATAAGCAGTATCTTCTGCATGTGAACACTGCTATTCCAAATATAAAATAACAATGCAAGGACGACACGAGACAAAAACAAGGAAGATACTTTTTGAAAACAAGCCTTAGGACGTTCGTGCTCATTTCATTGTTACCTTTAATTTTTATTGTTGACACTAGCTGAGACCCGCGGTGTTACCCGCGTTTGTTGTTATAACCGCGGGGCGAAGCTGGTCTAAAAAAAGTAGCCTGAGTTACTCCTTATGTCATCAGCTATCTGCCAGTGAAAGTCCCGTCAAAATTGGTCCAGCCGTTTCAGAGATTACCCGGAACAAACAGACAGAAAGACAGACAGACAAAAATTAAAAAAAATGTTATTTTGGCATATGTACCGTGTAAACATACATATACATTTAGTAAAAAGCGGTTATTTTAATATTACAAACAGACACTCCAATTTTATTTATTTGTATAGATTAGACAAACTTGAAAAATTTATTTTTTTAAAGTATGTCAAAGTTCAATATGAAAGACCTATGTCCAGCAGTGGACTGCGACAGGCTGATGATGAAGTCTAACTTCAGGTCTAGGTTCAGTAGACCAGCAAGACAGGCCCGGCTGTAGCCTTGTTTCACGTTTCGCTTGATATAACCAAAAACGATTGGGTATCTCCGAAATTTTATAATAAGTTTTAAAGTGTAAAAAGTATATGAAAGAAGTTAGAGATGGAAATGGATAATGTATTTACAATGTAGATTCTGATCGTTAGACTTTTTTTTTTTTATTGGGTGCTAAGAAATAGAACAACATAAAACAAAGTACATCTAGTGAGAGCAATAGTACCAGTAAGTAGAGCGATAAGGTTCAGTGCGGGCCAATCACAACGTTGAATGCGCTCGCTGTCGAGAGCGAGTTGGTGTGAAATAAACTTACACTAGGCCCTCAGAGGGCCTCACCGTGACAATCGAGGAGAAGTGAAATTAACTCGCACTTGGCACTATTCCATTAAAAAAAAAATATTTATACATTTGAATTTGGAATTCTTAACCAAAGAGGAGATATTTCATGGTGGCCGAAGGAACCGTGCTCTGTGAGCATCTGAGTCAATCGATAGGTGACACAGTCGTTCCTCCTTACCCACGCTTCGAAGATCGGCAGAGCGGCGCCGACGGCGCGTTGGCTAGCACAGCCTTGGATTTCGAGCGACAGAGCGAACTTGGTCCATCGCGTCCATGTCGGCCAGAATTTAGAAAAGGTGGATATCGCGCCAGGACCTCCAACGAGATCTTACGATAGCCCCGTACGATCCGTATGGCCATCAACCACTACAGGCTTCTGATTAGAGCCTTGCATCGGGAGGCACCCGTCAAGTCATTAGACCAGACGGGTGCCCCATAGAGGATCATGGATCTCACGACACTTATGTAGGAAGGGGGCGGCATAATCCTGGCACGCCCGTTATGGAGGATTGGCTGGAGAGGAAACACGGGACCCTTTAAACCCGGCGGAGATTACCTGTGTCAGATCTACAAAGAACCAACGCCTGGGTTCCACCACTTCGATAGCCAGAGCGTAGACACTACGCTTCACACGCTGGCACAGCTGGCACATGCCCAGCATGTGTGAAGCAGCGGCATGACCTCGTGATTGATTGCGGCTAAAACCTTCCAGATGCTTTTAAAACGTAACCTCAAATCACCTCAAATAATACCTCAGTGTGTTATTTAGGATCAGTTTTTAACTTTTCAGTTATCGTATAATAGTTAATGAACAGTCTAAAAAGAATTTCTGTGCATTGAAAAGGATTTCAACTTCGACATGTCTATATTTGAGTACACTAAAGGTTATATACGGAGCTACTTATTTATGTTCCATGTGCTATGGTGCCCCTGTATGGGCCGATAGCGCGATCGTAGGCGCTATTCGTCGCAAAGTATTACAAAACCAACGACTTGCACTGATATTCTTTTGCAAGGCATATAGGACGGTTAGCACTGAGGCTTTGCCGGTGTAGGCGGATGTTCTTCCAGTCCATCTCGAGGTGCAAAGACGTACAGCCATGTACTATTGAACACTAGAAAACATGGAATGCGATATTTTAGGCTCACGAGATCGCGATAAAGTCACAAGATTGCTTCAACAGTAGTAAGATATCTTCACTAGTTCTTTCCATCAGTTCGCGAACGATTGTCGAGGACATATCTTGAGGTGGATCACTGTGTCGCTCAATTTCTTACAGGTCATGGTAACTTTAAGAGCAAACTGTATTCATTTAAATTAGTCGAGTCACCATTGTGTCCATGCTCAACACCTAACTCTTACTGTGAACAGTCTGCTCATCATATCCTCTGGGAATGTAGTCTTTGGTATAATGAACGTAATATAATGCTGAATACGAGGCATGCCTTTTAAGTTTTGTCGTATGAAGAAAAAAACACAACTAGAAACTTATAGTACTTTTTATTGTTTTTCAAAGTATTCACCACGTAGCTTAGTACACTTTTCCATTGGCTCAAACCAGTAATTATAACATTTATTCCACTCTAAAGTGGAGGTGTTCAAAATGGCTGACTTGAAAGCATCGACTGCTTCTTCACCGGACTGGAACCTTTGACCACGAAGACTTTTATTAATTTTAGGAATTGTAAAGAAATCGTTAGGGCAGGACTGTATGGAGGATGGTCAAGAATTTCTACTTTTTCCTGCTTCAAATACTCAATCGTTTGACGAGCGCTGTGGGAGCTTGCGTTGTCGTGGTGCAGGATGATGCGTCGCTTTGAGTTAAATTTTCGAAGTTCGGCGATGACTTGTGGTAAACAAACTGTGGTATATCACTCTGCGTTAAACGTTCTACGATCTTCAAGTGCAATAGTTGAAACATGGCCGGTTTTTTCAACGAACGTGGACACCATCTTCTTTGAAGTGCTTCGAGAACGAACAACTTTAGTAAACTCATTGAAATAAAGATAAAAAGAACTTCTTCAGAAATAAAATTAACAACAACCCCATCGTTGGTCCGGTTTAGGGTATCCGAAGGGAGATTTCTACACGGAAAGAAAGGGCGGCTTCATCGCCATTGCCCTGCCTGTCGGGGTGGAAGTGACGTTTATCCTTAGTCTTAACGTTTTCACCGCCTTTAACTCCCGTAGTGGCGGAGGACACTCACAATAGTCCGAGAGAGGAGCTTGTCGAGTTAGGGATAACACCCACACCAGGCCACGTCGTTATTGAAACGATTGCTATGGGGAAGTTTGATGCTATCCACGGGGTTGAGCTTGGTTAGGCGTGATATCAATTTGAGGAGGACCTGAAAAAGGTATCAGAAACAACTAAAAACCTCCGTTCTACTTTTTTTACATACAGAATAGACTTACATACCTTTCAATTAAAAAGGGTGAAATCAGTTAACAAATGTCGAAGATTTCGCAAAACATTTAAACAAGGAAAAGCTATAAGTTATTGACCCCCTGCCCTTGTCTCGCTGTATCTAGTTTTCGTACCTATAAGTTATTTTTATTTTGTAAGGCTATTTCGATTCGAGTATTTAATTACTAGAGACATCTATTAATTATTTCATGTTAAATCTTCAGGCATCATGGTTTTAATAGTTTGGATGTTTGTGTACAGATGGCGCAAAACCGTTTATCCAAGGTCACGTATAGTGATGTTCGTAAAAGTTAAGCACATGTTTAAGAAACCACTGTAATACACAATATTGCTTTTTGTTTGTTTTCCAATTTCCAAAGATAACCTTTATATGTACAGATATTGGTGGTTAATTTAAAATATTACAATTTTCCAACTTTTGAAATCTATTAAAGTTTTGTGAGATGAAACAAAAAAATTAACTGATCTTAAATCACAATTGATGGATTAAATCACTAGTGAATTGTCAAAAAATACTAAAATGTATTTTATATTACTTATAATTTTTTTCATTAGAATCTGCAAAATGGTAAAACATAGGTACAAATTACTTACCTAGCCTTCTATAGACAACATTTTGAATTCTAATTGGACAAAGCTTTGAATTCTAATTAGATATAAACTTGCCGTATTATCATTTACAGTATAAATATTTGAGTCGGTACTTATATTCTATACGAATGTATGATTTTACTTAATTTTGTTTTTCTAAAAACACATAGATTGTGTACATTTTTTAAACATGTGTATGCACTATGTTCCCATCACTAACGTTAAATAACACAAGCCCGCAAATACTTGTTGTGGAATGTATTTTCTACGCTGCGTAAATTGAATATGAAATGTGCGTATAAAATATCCAAATGTTAATAAATACGTGAGAAAATGATAACATTTGGCGCTGGTAACTCTTCATCGGCGCTAGAAGATACAGGTGCGAAATTGTGAACTTCGTTTGTGGTGTTCTTTGAGAGTTTCTTGTATTGAATTGTTATGGTTATTTTGTAGGGGAAGTGAGAAGCATCTGCGAAAGTATATGCAGCGATGGGTCCAATGCGACCGTCCAGCCTGGGGGCTCTAACCAGAGGCCTCGCATGGATATAGCGTGTGTTCTTGATGTGACCCAAACTTTGAACCTTGCCCATAGAAAAAGGGCTTTAGAAGAAGTACGATTGGCGTCTGAACTTGTCAATGCTAATTTGCATCACATACATGTAAGTTTTAATACACTAGTATATTGTTTAATATACAGATAACTTACTCAACATTTCTTTTTAGTGTCCTTCAAGTTTTATCTTCCTGTTCACTTACAAACACGTTTTAATTGTTATCTTGTTTGCTTCATTAAACACAATTATAAATGTTTTGTAAATGAAAACTTATTTTAAAAGTAAAATAAGTGTATCAGTTAGTTTAAAAATAGTTACAGGGACTAGTATATATTTAATAATAGAAATATCTAATAATAAATAATAACAGCTGTTTTAAATAAATATGTATACTAAAACATAATTTATTAAAGACAATATTTCGTAATATATATAATTTATAGTTATTACATTCCCTTGAATTGCCTAAATTTTTGACAAGATCACACTAGTAGTCACAGCCTGACATAAAAGTTAGTATGTATGAACTGGATGGATGGCGTAGTGATTTAAGCGGGCACTACTCCGCTTCCAACAACGCTGAGTGTTGTGGGTTCGATCCCTACATGGGACAACACTTTGTGTGATCTACTATTTGTTGTTCTGAGTCTCGGTGTTCTTTGTGTCTGTTTCATGTTTGTATGTTAAGTCCCTGCAACACAGGATAAATTCCTAGTGCGGGAGTTGTCTTTAAAAAAAAACAAGTACATATGTACATCAATAAATAAGAACTATGTTTACTCCGGAATGTAGATTCACATTTTTGAGAGAAGTTACAAGACGGGTTTTGATACAGCTGTGTGAATACTCAGGCAGCAATGAGGTTGAGGGTAGAAGGTTATTGGTTTATTTTAGTACAGACTGAATATTCCCTGCAGTTTCATCTGCTTTTATTATGGCTAGGCCCTAAAGATTCATAGCTTTATGTTACATAGTCTATACTATACCCTTTCTCGATGAGTACTCTATCTAATACAAAGACAATTTTTAAAATAGGATTGATAGTTATATTAGTTTTAGTATTTTCAAATGCAAAATCATAATATCTTTTTTTTTAAATTGTTTGAAATTGTCTTTTATGTAGACTCAAAAGTCAAAGATCAACACACACAATAGCAATAATCTTTCTTTTGTAAAATACTTAGAATAAATTATACTTATAGAAAATCTACTTTATATGTAAGTGCCAATCTACAACCAATACACAGCTTTCGGTGCTCTGTCTTACACAAAGAGTTAAAAATGATAAGGATTTATGGATATCTATAGGACGTCTCTATAATTTGTGCAACATAATTTTATTGATTAAGCAATTATATATGGTTATAATGTTCCTGGAAAAGTCTATTGATACCATTTACTAACAAAAATCTTTGCAGTTTAAATTAAAAGAAAGGTTAAAATCTCATTGTGGAAGGTAGCACATGGACAGAAAATTATAAAATGTACTTTAATATATGTACTGTATTTATACATCAAATTTGAAAGGCACTCCTTCCTAAGCCGCAAAAGTTTATATAATTAATTATATACACCTATTAAGACTTAAAAATCTGACGATTTCCTTGGTTTATGATACTCATTTTCTATACTTTTGCAGTATAGTAATGATTGCCTCTCAAGCTTCATTATGATTGATTTTGATTATTTTTGATGATGATGATGATAAGTATGTTTGTGTATAGCAATATGAAACACAATTGCTGCTTGCTAGTATGGCCCATGTCCATTAGAGTTATACAATACATGCAACATTCTAAAGAGACTATACATTTGAATCTATTTCTATGAGACTAGAATTCCCTAGTCACATGCCTTGTTATGAATTTGACAACAAAGAAGTACAATACCCACATTGTAAACATCGATAGGTAAGTACAGTAACTTGTTTCAGTCAGATAAAAATATTTAGTGACTAAATCTAGACCCTAATAATAAGAAGGTACAACTGCACTAGAAGGAGTGTTCGGTTTTTTATTGTATGTATGTATATTTTTTTGGCATACTCTGTAGCCTAAATGGCTTGATGCATTTTTGTTTTTGATGTCTAGGAAGAGTCGTCTCAATTTTGTTTGTAAATTTTTGTTAGTTGTCAATTGGGTTTTTAATTTTCTTTTCAATTAGCTTGTTTAGTTATATTTTTTACACATTTTATTTTCAAAACTTAAATTTTACCATTGACACATTTACATTGAATACCAAATGTGAATTAAAGGTAAGAGAGAATAAAAGAAAAAAGTTCAATTCTTTCCAGTTTGAGAAGCTGGATTTCGGTGAAACAAATGTTCTGGACACCTTCTACAATGCAGATGTGGCACTGGTTGATCTCAGTGTGCAGTTGCAGCAAAGCTCTTTGCTGTACCATCTTGGAGTTAGAGAGAGCTTTGATATGAAGGAGAATGTTCTATTATACAATGATGTTGATGCAGACTCCACATTAAGGCTTAAGGTAATTTTTATAACATTATTGTTGCTAATCAGTCGAGCTTTAAAATAATAGTAGCCCTTTGCCCGCTACGGTTACGATAGTAGGTATAGGTTTAGTGTTAGTGAAAGAATTTTTAAAATGGGTTTAGTTGGTTTAGGCGTGAAACTCACTTTCACAGTAATAATATAAGTATGGATTTATTGTAAAGCTTGACTAATTGCCGGATTGACTGATTGCCAGATTGGCTAATTGCCGGATCGACTAATTGACCGACAAGTTCCTCCAAACCATCAAGAATACTCCCACTTCAAAAGCCACATTGCTTGCGAGTCCTGAGTTGCAGGCGTCCATGTGTAGCTATAGGCACTTTTCGACAGGTGACCCGTCTGTGCGTCAGCTCACTATATCAAAACAATTAACTGAGTTGGTTCTGGCCGCATTCTTAATTAGTGTTAAATTTCTCAGTGTTATATTCTTATATTTAGATAAAAATTTATGTAAAATATTAGCTGTGTGTGTGTTTGAGCTGTTCATCTCTCTGATGCGGCCATAAGATGGATAAATAGGTACACTTTCCTGCCCTCTTTGAGCAATTACGGTCTCAGTCTGAAATTTATATGCATGATAACATTAATTCCAGATAAAAATTGTATTCTACCTTTTTTTTTATAATACAAACTAGTTTAAACTGTTTTGTTAAGTAGGTAAAACATGTAGAGTTGGTAATAAGATCTGTGAGACTGTTCGGTCTATCATACAGTATCAAAAAACTAAACAGGATATCGGTAGATATGGCCAAGTGATAACTAAAATATGAAAACCACTATAGGAATTTTCCTCAAACTGATTATTAGTTTATATTTTAAAAAAAAGATCTATCGTGGGACGACTGGCACATGTGCAACATCAAAATTACTTCCCCACATTGCATTACATGTTACATACTCGTACACTATCACATACAATACCGTCTTTACCATAAGGGCACACGGGGCCCGTGCCCAGGGCCTCCATCGTCAAGGGGCCTCCAAAAAGCAAATACATAGCACGTTAAATATTCGCTTACCTAATTTTTTTTTCCAATTCATATCGATATTATCCGAAAAAAAAGTAAATGGGCCTTTTTAGCAACTTTATAGCAACTCTAAGCACTGACAAGCCAATAATCAGTAACGGCCTTAGCCACTGCGAGGCCCCGGGCCCCGGGAATTAGTTTTAATGATCATACATTAAACAAAAAAATGCTTCGCAACACATACTGCTGCTCGCACATAAAAGCATATGCCGACGACAGTTTCTACAATGTTACAGGCGAAATTAAACACGGGGAATCCCTGAACGTAAATCGTAAACGATTCGAATCGAGTGTTTTCATTTAAGACAGTATTTAAAGAATATATCAAAGGAATCAGCTGATTTGAGTCTCTCAAACTTACATAATTTAATAAAGTCCGACAGATTAGAAGAAACTTTTCCAAATGTTGAAGTGGCTACAAGAAGGTTTCTATGCCTAATGGTTACCAATTAGCGGAGAGCGCTCATTTTCAAAGTTAAAGCGAATAAAAAATGAATTACGAACATCAGCGTCACAAGAGCGACTAACGTATTTATCAATTATGTGTATAGAAAATGATATCCTCAAAAAAATTGAAGATATAATAGAAGAATTTGTACAACAGAAATCCCGAAAAAAATCACTGTCGTAATTGTACCTAACTGATTCAAACCATCAATTCAAAGATGCTTGTCTAATTAACATCCCATATTTATATCTATTATACTTACTCGTAAATGTATTTATCTAATTAATATCTCTAATTATAGGTATATTTAATTGTTGCCAATAAATCATTTTAAGTAAAAGATCATAACTAAAAATATTTTAATCATTCATTTTGTTAACTGTCCAAAAGGGCCCCTAATTCTTGTGTGCCCAGGGGCCTCGGCGTGGCCTAAGACGGCCTTGATCACATATCGTGGCGACGCATCGCCACGACAACAGCCGGTCTGCCCCTCGGCATTAGATGATTCACATTAACAATATTACTTATGTAGTAAAATGGACCGTAATAAAATTCACCTTCTATTAGCTTACGCAGTAAGATGTATCTTCTAATAAATGCTTTCCATTCATACATTGCAATTACAATAATATTGGCCACCAATAAAAGATTATTGACCTTATTCAATAGACAATAGCAAAGTCAATTACTTACAAGGCGAGAAATACCTACAAGTTATTATAAGTGAGGAATGTATATTGAGAGTATTGTTGAAACAATCGTGGTGCAAACACCTTTTGCTTTACAGATTACAGCCACAATGTTACTATATACTAGGTGAGACCCGCGGTGTTACCTGCGTTTGTTGTTATAACCGCGGGCAACGGCAACGGGGCGAAGCTAGTCTAAAAAAGTAGCCTAAGTTACTCCTTATGTCATCAGCTATCTGCCAGTGAAAGTCCCGTCGAAATCGGTCCAGCCGTTCCAGAGATTACCCGGAACAAACAGACAGACAGACAAAAATTGTAAAAAATGTTATTTTGGCATATGTACCGTGTAAACATACATATGCATTTAGTTAGAAGCGGTTATTTTAATATTACAAACAGACACTCCAATTTTATTTAATTGTATAGATTTACTCGTATTCAAAAATACAAATCACAAAAATATAATGTCACCAATAGTGCAGTAAAGTTTTTGTAAAAGTGACTATATAAAAACCGCTTAATTGAGTGCTAGCCTGCGGGGTCCATCCTACATCGTGTCCGTGTGATCCGTGGGAACAGGGATCGGGAGAGGTGCGGGCGGCAGGCGCTTCAACTTTTTCTAGGGAAACTCACCTCCGAGTTGGTCGGCTACTTCAATGACAGTATGCATCATCGTCCTCTCACTTACACAAATCAAATGGTTTTTACAGAAATTTTCTTCGCATCTTTTTGTCCGAATAGAAATCAATACTGATCCCTATGTAATCCTTTCCCTTTTCGATGGACACTATTCACGTTTTCTTACCTGTTAGGTACTGTTAAGTGTTAAACTTTTCGTTCTCAATTCAGTTCCAATCATCTTTCGATCTAACAACTGTCATAAAAGGTATTTTCGTAGTAAAGTATTAAACATCCAACGTTGAATGTAATGTGATTATATCGTATTATAAAATAGAATCGATAATCTGCTTGTCTTAGTAATACTTTACTATTTTACTACGAAAATACCTTTACACTTCTAAAACTCGATTCACTTTAACTGAATACTTATTTAAACCATTTTTTAAGCCTTCTTTGACCTAGGGTAAATAATGACGGTTAAACGGGATCGGGATCCCGAGCGTAAAGGACGATACCAGCCGCCGACGGGGCCGCGGGCCGCCAGAGAGCGGGGACCTCAGGTGGCAGATTGAATGCTGCGGTAGGAGATAGGATGGCGGCCTGATTGCAAAAAGATTGTCAAAAGGGTCAATAATGACGAAACATTTAGCTTCATAAATCTCATACTTATGTACAGTCAGTACGATAATGGCTTAACATTTCTAATTTTAAACTTGACATGAAATGTTGAACATAGTATGGAATCAATTAATCTTCCATACCAAAGATTTAAAAAAAATAGAGGCTATTATAGGTCATAAGCTTTTTAGCTGTTCGGTAACTGCTACAAGTACCTATATGGCATAAAACAATTAGATCGTCAACATCTTTTTACCCTTTGCCCAAAATTTGTTATGAGTCTGTGCAATGAATGACTTTAACATTCTCCTCTAACTCTCGATGCCCACTTTTACGCAGTCCCTTATTTCAAAAAGTTAAATCAACTACATCTATTGATAAAATTATATTCTACTAATTTGATTGTATGCTAAAAGATTTAAGTAGAAAAAAAACTGAATGAAACCTTATTCTATTACCAGAAATATTTATCACTAGCTGACCCGCGCAACTTCGTCTGCGTCTCTCAATAGTAATAATTTTTTTCCGTTTTTGAAACATTCTTCATTGGTGCTCCGCTGCTATTGCTCTTAGCGTGATGATATAAAGCCTATAGCCTCCCTCGATAAATGGGCTATCTAACACTGAAAGAATTTTTCAAATCGGACCAGTAGTTCCTGAGATTAGCGCGTTCAAACAAACAAACTCTTCAGCTTTATAATATTAGTATAGATTTACAAAATAGTTCCTCGGGATAGTCTAGAGTGCGTCCGTGCCGCTTTTCTTTATAAAATCAACGCTAAATCGTGACGTGATCTCTCACTCATGGTCATCTCGGATAAGATTTCGTGTTTAAGCAACAGCTCAGAAAAAAATAACTATTTGCTTTTTGCAATAGTTGCTCGTTATTTAAATGTGTTGTTAACGTAAACTATCTTTAATACTTAATTTATAACAGAATTCCTAAATATAGTTTTTTGAACGATACATGCCTCATGTATCGTTCAAAAAACTATATTTTTCTAGCCTTGACGCCAAGCGGGTAGTCTGTTTGTAGAGGCTATAAGACCCTTACAAGCAGGCGGTTAGTGTGTTTGTTTGCTATCTTAGATAAGATTAAAAAGAGGCGATGAATATATTTTCTTTCGGGAGCAGCTTATCTGAAAAATTTGTACTACACCAATACCTATATTTCTTGTCCACTATAACGGCTATTACTCTTAATTTATCAAATTGTCCTGTCCGTGCGACCAATCATTCAAACATGACTATTCAAATAACTTGAGATTGAATTACTGGTTGACATTTTTATTGTTACATTCGGTAAATGGGTCACATATTCCTACTCGAATTGTAGCCCACTTTTAGGTTTGTTTTCCGATACAGTGTAATGTACATTGATACCGGTAACCACTTACTATCAGAAGCATCACACTTGACAGTAATTTATTGCGAAAATATCATAATCCAAAACAAACGTACGGAATATCGCTGCTGTGGCTTTGACAAACTCAATGTATAGTAAATAACATGACAAAAAAGTTTTAATATAATCAAGGTTTCTTCATGGAAATTTATTGAAATAATTAGTGCGTCACTCAAAGAACATGAATGACAATAACAATATAAATTACTCACACATCTCATTGAATAGATTTCATTAATAATTACTTGGTATTCCTACAGTTATCACTACCCAACTTCCTGTTCGTCTCGTACAAATTGACGGATGCTGGTACTTGCGTGACTACCAACCCTGCTGCAACAAAATTTAAGGGCGAAGACGCAGCGGACCCTAAGCAACATCTGACTTTGAGATTGAAGAATATATTGCAAGATGTTGAGGTACAAACCAAGTGAGTATAACTTATTAAGTTTACGAGAGAGTTTTGCGGCATTTTGTTTAATTTATATACCTATTTCCCTCCAACGTTGGCAGTTGAGATAAAAGAGCTCATTTCATCGATTGTTCTTAGACGACCTACGAGGACTGAAACGAACCGTTTACTTTAATTTGATCTGGGAATATTCGCAAATGACCTAAAACGCTATGAAAAAGAGAAGCAATATGATACCGAAAAACATAAGGTTTAAGTTAGGGGATTTCCAATGCTCGAAGTCAAATCTGAGCATATCGAAAAAATAACCAAATCGGATAGGTAACCGGGCTGGAGATTCTCAGAATAGATGTCTTATTTTTAATATACAGATAGGTAAAAACAAAACAGTTCAGGACAGTGCATATCAACAGATTTTGTTTTTATTTGTTTATTAAATAAAATATGTCTTTGTTATCTTTTTGAATAATTTGTTCTCAATCATCTTCATAGTAAATATAAAATTGATATTGTTTTTTTTTTAATCATACTATCGGACTACCAAAGTAAGAATTTTATATTTTTATTATGTTAAGGAAAACATTCAAGTAAAAAAAATTTGCTGCTCAAGGCATTCATTTTACATTATTTTGTATAAATATTGTGTTGTTAATGATATTTTCTAAGAACATGTCATGTATGTTCATAATAAGTGTACGATAATTCGTAGAAGAAGGAATAAGCTACTGGATTAAGTTGATTTATAGTTTATCCACCATTTTTCAATCACTTGAAATGAAAGGGACCTTGATTGTAACTAAAAACTACATCACATCAACAGCCTTCAATAGTCCACTGCTGGACATAGGCCTCTCCTTAGAAAGGAGGTTTTGGCCTACTATAAAACGCTGGTCAGACGGGTTGATTTTGGTTTGTGTCGAGTTTTTCATCTTTTTTGCAGTGCTGTTGTCCTGCGTTATTTTGCGCACCTAGTCGGCTCTTACCGTCTAACCCACGGGATGAAAACTACATATATAAACTAAATTTTATACATTATAGAAAATTCATCAACCTGTAAACTTGATAAGTTCGTACGACACATACAAAAGACACGTAACAAAACGTAGTAGTTATAACACCAGTGATCACGAAATATATTTTACTACCTGACCCGCGCTACTTCGCCTGCGTCTCTCAAAAGGAATAAATTTTCCACATTTTTGCAACATGTTTAATTGATGCAATTGGTCATAGCGTGATGTTATATAGTATATAGACTTCCTCGGGCTCATCTTATCACATGGGCTACCAACACATAAAGGACATTTCATTTCGAACCAGTAGATCCCATAGCATTAAAGTATTAGTATACATTACATAATAATTTTCCTTATAGAGCACACCTGCAAGAGAAATTCCTATCAGATCTTCGGAAAGCTCGTGAAATATACAGCGGACAAGAACTTGCAAATGTTCTTCACGCGATGCGACGAAGGTTGGATGATCCTGCCGTTCTTTCTGGAGATACTATCCTTAGCATGCTCATATCGTTCCGTGAGATACAGGATTATGATGCGATCGTGCAAGTGGTCGACGATCTCAAGACCATCATGAACAGGAAAAATTATGTGAACATGCCTATTATAAGGTTCATGTATGCCTTCGCTATGAATAGGTGAGTATTTTGTCTACTCTTAACTGAACGCTGCCGAAAAATTAGCAAATTGATGAAGGAAGAATCTCATAAAATATAGTCTTCTTCATTGTATGTTAATTGTGTAAAATGCAACACAGTAACATTATATAATTAAGAGGAAACCTTAAAGTAAACAATGAAACTTTTAGGATTAACATTTAAAAAAGAGATGTAGATAACGATATCTAAAAATATTACTTATTCTACACTTTTTCTTCCAGACGAAACAAGGAAGGTGATAGAGAAAATGCTCTTAAAGTATGCGTCAAAGCATTAGAGAAGAAAGAAAATAGATTTCCTGATATGTTGTGTTTGTGCGGTCGCATTTACAAAGATAAGTTTGTTGAATCGCAGCACTCGGATAAGGAAAGTCTGAATAATGCTATTCATTGGTATGGAATTAGTACCTATAGTTTTTTTAAATTATTTTACCTTATATTGAAATTAATGTTTTGGGTTTTCCTTAACACTCGGTCAAGGTCACAGTGTGCGTAATACGTTTCAACATTCGTTGCTTAAAGTGTTGTCCAATGTGTTTTGTAAACTTAGATGTTTACCTTACAGTGAAGCTGCAAATTATTGCTACAAGTAATCACTGACAAAATTACCAGATTAAAAACTAGAAGAAAATTCACTAGCCCAGGCTCTCCTCCCTTTCTCACGTATCCTGATTAGCTCAAATACATAATAATCTACAGCGAGTTTCCATTCGCTATTTCGATACTTCTTATATTCCGTTAAAAGCTTGTCACTTTAAAACCTAAACAACTCAGGAACAAGGAACAAGATTATCACTTGAACTTAGAAGTATATGTTAGAAATAGATCCAAGGGACTAAAACATAATGGTGTTTCGTTTTCAGGTACAGACAAGGCTTCGAAGTACAGCCGAATGAGTATGCCGGCATTAATTTGGCAACACTTTTAGCTATAGCTGGAAATGATTTCAAGAACTCGGAAGAGTTACAACACATAGGTAAGACAATCATTAATCCTTCGAAAGATAAGATGTATCTTAATAACTACAAATCTTGTTTATACAGACATCTCTGGGTAGAAATTTACAAAACTTTAATTAAATCCCTACTAATATTATAAATGCAACAGTCCCTTTGTCTGTCTGTTATGATAAGATTTCACGCCTAAACCGCTGAATCGATTGCAATGAAATTTGGCATGGCGATACTTTGATTCTTGAGTAACTACATAGGCATTACTCACTTACTTTTTACCGCGATAACCTACACTCGCGGGTGGAGCCAGGGACAAACGCTAGTTCTCTATATTTTGTGAATTTGTCGTAGATTTCCCTTTTTGATAAAGTATGAAATATTATTGAGGTCTAAGTAAAGGCATTTATAACACAGATTTTTTTAAATCAAATCACCAACTGAGTATTCATATTAATTCTCTATAAACTGCAGTGGAAAATGATAACTCAATTTAATAATAAGTATAGCATAAGGCAAATAAATATATTTTGATATTTGTGGTTAATAGTAGTTCGTGTAGGTATATTTATGTATTTAATGAATACCTTAGTCTTGTATTAATATGATTCAGTTTCACATAATGTAACAAGGGCAACTGTTTCCACTTGTAATCAGTAGAGCCTAGTGGTTTATTTGACACTTTAATATTATTAATCTTCTTCGAGAGAAGGAAAACTTGACACAAACCCTATACCAACCCCTCTGGCCAGCGTTTTATAGTAGGCCAAAACCTCGTTTCTGAGGAGAGGCTTATGTCCAGCAGTGGACTTTTATAGGCTTTTGATGTGAATCTTCTTCAATTTAAAATATTTTTTTATTATATAAAAGCAAAATATTATTATTATACGAAATATTATTTATTTCTAAAATATACAAGCCAGAACCTCTATGCTTTGCTATACTACCAGATGACCCCGAAGTGCGGGACGTCATCAAGCTACACGTGTTCTGTAAAATATGAAAGTATGGGTGGTCTTGCATGCTGGTCATTGAAATCAACAAAAACTTAATGCACTACGATCAACGTTTGAACTCCAGGCAACTTCTAAATAATAATTATAATGCTTCCATTTTTTTCTAGGCATGGTACTAAATCATTTAATAGGTAAGAAAGGCAGTCTATCATCATTAAAAGACTATTGGGATGTTGCAACGTTTTTCGAGATCTCAGTGTTGGCCCAAGACTATGTAAAAGCGATACAGGCAGCGGAATGTATGTTCAAGTTGAAACCACCGAACTGGTACCTTAAGTCTACTATAGGAAATATTGAACTTATAGATAGGTGAGAATTATTTTTATCGTCTTACTTTTAAAGTTTTTAAAAACGCACTCGTAATTATTTTTGGGATTAATATTCTCAAGGGTTAAAACTAATCTGGAAGGTCGGAAATTTATCAGTCACTTTTTAATAAATAATAACTTTTCACTTTTTAATAAAAACAAACTAGTCCATCCCTGTTAAGAAAATAGTGACGCATCGATCAAATCCCGCCGTTTGACCAATCAGGACTCAAGAAATTATTGTTTCGTACGAAAGCTTGGAATATGATTGGTCAGTAAATAGGTAAACAAATTGCCTTGTATTATATATATATATATTTTAATACATTTTTTTAAATCTTTCCTTATTTAAAGATTTAACTTATTTAGGAACAAATCGAACTCAATACCGACTTAACACCGAACAATAAACAAAATAGCATTATAATACAATCCTGGCCATCGGATGTGGCTAACACTCTAAAATAATTGAGAGGTATTTTGTATATTACAGATTTCGGAAGAGTGAAGAAGTAACGCCAGAACAACAGGTGTTCTCATTTTGGATGGAATATTTTGTAGAAGCCACTAAGAGCAGCTGTGAAAATGTTATTAGGTTTCCTGTAAGTATCGTCTAACTCGTTACAATATTTTATTGACCTCTTCTCAAAAAGTACAAAAAGAGAAAATTGGGAAATTTCAATATGGCGTTTTGGGAATACATAGTATATTTCAGGTATAAATGAAACCATTTGTCACAAATTTTTAATAAGTCTGGAATACCTGCCCCTATCTGAGGAAAAAATTTAGTACTCGTGTCATCTTCTCCCGAACTTAAAACCGGAAGATAATGGTAGGTGAAACTTAAGTCTCCAAATTTTTTTTTTTCGCGTTTGCCGCGGCGTTGGAAACTCAAGTAGATTCTGTGTTCAGTAGTATACCTATATGGTAATTGAAATATATACATAAATATAGATTTTACCATTTCTGATGTTCAACTGTAATTATATATTGTACCCTTAATTAATTGAATAAAAAATATGTTTTGTACCTCTGTACCACTGTACTTAAAAGTTTTTATTTTGTTATGATGTTTAATACTTATGTTACTTATTTTTATTTGTTTCATTTCTATTAAAGATTACTTTTCTTAATTATAATGTATTGTTTTAAATTTCCAGGTGTTAATATTAGAAACAACTAAAGTGTATGTGCCTTCTTACGTGAACGTGAATATGGGCGCGGAACAGAAGTCTGTAGAAATTCTAAATCTGTGTTTAGAATCAATGCGTGGACAGTGCCGGCAAGTCCATCGTTGGTTATTCACCTCGGATATGATTAGGAGCTACAGGTAATTGTTATTATTATAATTTCATAAATAAAATCACTCCTGTAACACTCCAATCATTCCTGTTTATGTGATACAAACCTATAGCGACTACTAGGAGCACTAAGGGGCTTGCAGTAAATTAAAAAATACTTGTTAGAAGGAAAGGTAATGGCAGTTAAAAGGCATTACTCACTTAGATAGATTGGGACTGTAAGCCATGCCCAAGCACGCAAGGACAGAAATCCTGTAATTCGAATTGGGTGTTGCCTGGAAGTCCGATCTGCACTACATAATAATAATATTAAACAGTCTAAAATAAAATAATAGCACTAATATTACATATTCTTTTATTTATTTATTGTTTATTGCCGGCATAAGGAAGTTACAAGAATTAAATTCACTTAAATTAAATTCAAACAAACAAAGTTACTTTTACATTTATCAAACAAGTATGGATGTTTCCTTTTATAATAATTTCTTGCACATAAAATTCCAGTTTATACAAACGAGATGAGCGCTGTTTGTTCCTGTACGTGAGCGAAAATTCCGACGACTTTCAAATCTTTTTGTCGTCACAGTCATGTCGGGAACGCTTACACGATCTACTTGGAGAACTCACTGCAGACCACGAAAAGGTTACCGACCTCGATACTAGTGGCATGCAAGATCAACTGAAGGTAATTATACACCTGTGACCCGAAAGGTCACAACGCTAGTACCCCACTGTGTATTTTGATATTTATGTGTGTGTATGTTTATGTATTGTATGTGTAGACTTGGGAACTCTATGTATAATATGTAGTACTGTATATATTGGTTTATTTATGTATATTATATCTAAGTTTTATATATCTTATCTTATATCTAAGTATAAGAAATTTGATTGAGTTACATTAAATTAACAAATTTAATATAAATCAATCAAATTTCTTGTTTTCCCTTGCACCTACTGCATCATTTTTCTACATCATCCGAAGGTCGACTGGCAGAGAATGCCCTGGGCCTATGTACAACTTGTGCATTAAGTTGTGTATAAATAAATAAAATACATCTCATTATTAGGATTACAAACTAATTATTTTTTAATATCGGTAGCAGACTTGAACGCTAGGCGCATGCCTTCAAAATTTTAGCAATTCCATTTGCTTTACTTTTCCATCCAGAGGGTGCATTTTTTATTAGACTAATCTAGAAAATATAACCAATCCAAAGAACGTGCTTTATATAATAATAATAAATCTTTTTTTGGAAATAAAAATCAATTGTACACAGTACATTCGAAAACGATGATATCCACAGTAGTAATAAAACTGTGTTGCCGATATTTTTAGTACTGATATGTTTGAATCTGAATTTACTTTATTTTCTTTGTTTATATATTAGTTAGTAGTACCACATCATACATATTATACTTATAACTAATTTTGACAATATGTGGCATTATATCTGATATGTATGACAATTAAGGTGTACATTTGCAGCCAGATGTTTACTTTACCATAGGTCGTCATTTTATTGCATTTGCCTAAATGTTAGTCGTACGGTTCAGTTCGAGTACGAGCTGGACGACTTCAACAAGCGCGTGGTGCTGGGCAAGGGCACGTACGGGGTGGTGTACGCGGCGCGCGACCTCAACACGCAGGTGCGCATCGCCGTCAAGGAGATCCCCGAGCGGAACCTCGGCGACGTGCAGCCGCTGCACGAGGAGATCCTGCTGCACTCGCAGCTGCGCCACAGGAACATCGTGCAGGTCTGTCTTATACTTCATTTATACGGTTTCGAATTGAAATTGATTACTATATTATTACAGGATACGATTATTCCGCTGATATATTCAATTGAATGCTTTTAAAAAAATCGTACGTCTGCAATACGATATGCGACACCATTTTAATATAAACAAAACTATGATATTAACATATATATAGTAGTATGTGATAATGGAATATTTTCCAATTCTTATGATGATATTTCTTAAATATTATGTTTACTTAAAATTCCAGTATTTAGGCTCAATATCAGAAGACAATTATTTCAAGATTTTCATGGAACAAGTACCTGGAGGATCGCTCTCAGCATTACTACGTTCTAAATGGGGACCGTTAAAAGAAAATGAAGCAACTATAGCATATTACACAAAACAAATTTTAGAAGGTGGGTACATATGTTGTTTTCTTTTTCGTAAAACAATTATATGTCATTTCAACTCATATGAATAATAGTAATATGTGACCACATATAGTTGAGTATCTTACATGCCCTTAGGAATAATTCTTAAATATAAAAAAAAAACATAGAATGAATTAGATCTTGTAGTCGCATTATAATGTTGTGATACATGTACATTTGTAAAACACGAAGATACTGTGTAAAATTAAAATCGTATATTCCATTCCATCGTTCTAGAAAAATTGAACATTTCAGGTCTAAAATACCTCCACGATCAGAAAATCGTCCACCGCGACATAAAAGGTGACAACGTGCTGGTGAACACGTACAGCGGAGTGGTGAAGATCTCGGACTTCGGCACGTCCAAGCGCCTCGCGGGGCTGTGCCCCTCCACCGAGACGTTCGCGGGCACGCTGCAGTACATGGCGCCCGAGGTCATCGACAAGGGCCAGCGCGGCTACGGCGCTCCCGTACGTACTGCCACATACTCATACGCTCTTTAGTACCTTTGTGCTTTGGACTTGTGACTTACTGTATTGTTAGTATTTCAGGACAATTGGGCACAAAAAGTGCTATGCCGGCGTAGCTTTATTTTAGCTTAAATGTCTACCACAATATAAAGTTTACCACATAATAATAACGTAACTAAGATAGAGCGGCACGACTTGTTTACTTCAGTTATTTTCATAGCATGATGTACGGTATTGTATTGTGGGGGAATGCTGCCGACATTCAAACCAATTTTGTGCTGCAAAAGAGAGCGATTCTAGCAATCTATAATTTAGGCAATCGTTGTTCATTGAGACAAAAATTTAAAGAAATAAACATAATGACAGTGGCAAGTCAATATATATATGAAAATGTAATATACGTTCATAGAAAACAAAGATAGCTTCTTAAAAAGAAGTGATGTACATGCTTTTAATACCAGAAATAGAAATAAACTTGTACCTGCCTCTACGCTCCAAAAGATAAACAAATCATTTCCAGGTCAAAGTGTGCAATTCTTTAAAAATCCCAAATAGTATACAAGATTTTAGTACAAACAAATTTAAATCCACAATAAAACGTTACTCAATTGTTTATCACATAGAAGACAAGAATTCTTGGGATTCATTTAGCACAGGCTATTTCGTAGTTGAAATGTGATGTGGGCTAGTGTGTCTTTTATTTAATTTTCCTTTTTTTCATGTTTAACTTAACTTTATCTATATATTTTTACTTCACCTTATACTTATTTAACTTATATCTTGTTTTCTCTTCATTGTCTTTTTACCTTTTAGTAGTTAAAACTTACATACTGGCACACATCAAAACAATGTTGTGTATATTTAATGATGCCTTTGTTATCTGTTGATTGAAAAGAGTGGCCGTGAGTTTGTTTGCCCTTTCTTCTCATGAGACTCAACTCCTTGGAAATGGGCAGTTGTAGATCGTTACAGGCATATAAGAGATTTTCGATACGTATATATTTAGTCAAATATTTGACAAAACAGAGAATGTTGCTATTGTGTGTTGATCTATGACTTTAGAGTCTACACAAGAGACGATTTCAAATAATTTTATTTCTTTAATGAAATAATGATATTTGAGTGAGATAAATAGACTAATCAAACTTTATTTATGGTTCATTTTACTAATGATGAGCTATGTTATATGGATCTTTCCTAAATAGTCCAACACAGGTAAAAATAATTTACATGCTTGTGCTGTCTATATAATAAAACAGTAAAATTAATGTTTTCTAAGTGACGTTGTTTAAACTTAACTTAATTGTTTCAACCTAACTTTATATATGGTTAATGTTTTATTTTTCTCTATTTTAGGCTGACATTTGGTCTTTAGGCTGCACAGTTGTAGAAATGGCTACAGGAAATCCACCTTTCATCGAACTCGGGTCTCCGCAAGCTGCTGTTTTCAAGGTAATTTCTTTTTATTAATGAACTCCCGGTTTAGCAATGCTCTATTTAAGTAATACGTGTAATACTGCTCACAAAAAAATATCAATACTTCAACAAGAAACACTTGTTTAGGGAGTACATAAACTAAAATTGGAACGATACTATATTTAACAACAACTCTTACAATAGGTAATAATAACTATACTGATTATTTACTCTAATTATGTAGGTGGGATACTACAAAATGCATCCAGAAATTCCTCACGAGTTGTCAAACAAGGCTAAGAACTTTATTCTGCGGTGTTTCGAAGCAAAACCAGAGGAACGAGCAACTGCTGCCGAACTCTTAGAAGACCCTTTCCTTTGCGAGTAAGTATCTAAGAATCCCTTTTGTAAAGATAATACATATGATGTGCAAGAGTACATACATATATTTTCAGATAAAATCTTACAAAAGACGAACCTTAGCTTTCGCGAATACATAACTATGCCCTTGTAAATGTTGTAGGTGTAATATTACTATGATTTATCACCAATCCATTTAAAGTTTAAAAAGGAATTAATTAAAGTTGGAAAAGGATAAAAAAGAAAGGAAATAGGATAACTATAAGGGAATATAATCAGTAGTTTGCGATAGTCAACACATTCCTTAGTTGTAATAGAGTGCTATAAAGTTTTTACGGGTTTTACGCTAAAAATTACTTAATCGTATCGAGCTCTCTCCCCTCCCTCTTAAACGGAATTGAATATAAAAAATTACCGTAATTATGAAAAAAATGCTATAAAATTTTAAATTATTCAAATTTTACTAAACTATTTAATGAATAACCAACATACATATATCTCTAATTTTAATAAAAAGATGTAGTAGATTTTTTTCAAATCACTATTACATTCTTATGTGTAATTTAACAGAAAGAAGAAGCCTACAAGTAGATTAGGCAGCAACATGGACTACAGTCGTAGCATATCCGTACCAGCAGATAAAGCACGTCCCATCACTGCACACAAGAAAATTTCGGAGCCTAGTATAGCTTCTAACCTGCCCAGTTCACCAGAAATCGAGTAAGTACTACACTGTTATAATTAGAAGCATATTTATTAGTCCTGCCTTAGTTTGCAACGCATGGTATTTAAGTTACCCAGGAAGGTATACTAAATTGCGAATATAATCCTTATGCATGTTAGTAACTGTTCATATCCAGTGCAATGTTATGTTAGAGACAGTAGGGTGTCACGAGTATCCAGCATGTCTCTTTTTCTGTTACTTTTTCTTTTCACATTTATGTTTTGAATGAATGTAGTAATGCTCTATTTCTAGTGATCGTAACATACTCTTTTTCACTTTTTTAATAGCCAAGGTATTCTAAAATTTCGTTTGGTCAACCATGCAACATCTACAAAATTCTATTATAAATTAGACGCGCTCTTAAAACCCTTCTGCACCCACCCTGGGATACTACTGAAGTTAAGATTCTTATGGACGAATGGGTGTTGTGTCCCTTCGCTAGAAAGGAGGATCGTTCGACCAGGCTAGGCTAGCAACCAACGTTACAGGATCCATAGTAATTTTGTAGTGCCGCTTGCCTTCGCCAGACGGAGCTGAAGTGTTTTTATTAAATATTGATGTCGACACAATTAAAATGAGCATTTAGATTTAGTAGGAATATCGGTATTATATAAGTTACATTTACACATCCTGTAAAAAATGTGTATTACTTTATCATGCCAGGCAACTTTAACAGATAGTAATTAAAAAATATCTCGTGGCTCCTACTGAATCTTAGCGGTGAGTTACGTCCTTCACTAGTTTTTTGATTTCGAGATCATTCGCCGTTAATATGTGCTGGATGAGTACAGTTGTTCTATCTAAAATTATGGTATTATTTTTTACATGTTTGCGTTGTGTGATGTTCTCATATCATCATACATTATTATGGTGAGAGGGAGCTTATGTACTGTATTGGGTAAGGAAATCCTGATATAAATGTGATTTTAAATGAAGTATTGATTTACACATGAGAAAATATTGGCATACATAAACTCATTCACCTACGATGATCTACATACATGTAAATTACTAATTGATGTCATGGATTTTTGTATCACAATTATCTTAATATGCTCCTTAATGTATGTATTTATTTACAATAACAATTCTTTACAAAGAAATCATAAATATTAAACCGTTAATATTATACCAAATTATATCAAAACTGATCAAATTTGATGATGTCTGCAAGGTTACTATTCCATCAGATTACTTTGTCAAACTTTAACATAGTTTGAAAGTTCAGTAACTAATATGAAAAGGGCATATGAGATTGTGAGAAAAGTCTTTGACGTGATTTAAAGGAGTTTACTTCAAGCAAGTGTCTCATGAAAGTGTTATTGTATCAATGTCATACATTTCCATATCCTTGTACTGGCATAAGGGTAAAATATAGAAACAAGTGAGGTCGCCGCCTGTGAGTAATCTTAGGAAAGTTTTGCATTGTCAAACCAAGTTAAACCAGCACCATCTAGTTAAATTTTGTTAACAACCGCAACGGATCGCAGTGCAAAAGTAGTTTTGCCTTTTTGTCAAATGATCTAGCATGACTAATCGTGGAAGAGCCATGCTTCAGTATAAATGGGCTGGCTCGACCAGAGTGATACAAAAAAACGGGTTTCGAGCAGTTTTTAAGCCCAAAACCTCCCATCTCCTATTGCCAAAAGGGGGGGGGGGGGGGTGACTCATAGCGCTCTATGACTCACCATCCTAACGCACCTGTGACTCCTGTCCATGGGCGGCGGTAGCCACTTCCCATCAAGTGACTCGTCCCACACAATAATTAGTTTTTAAGAAAATTTAAGGTTTTCTCTCATCGCTTAACTCGACTAAGGTATATAAATGTAAGTATCCTCTCGTATGTATAAAACTATAAGTACTTTCTGTATGTTAGAGTGCTCATATAACAAAGAATTTTTATCCATAAGAAATGCAACATTATTGGGTAGTGAAATAGTCTAGTCCCTTTTTTAATAATGACTTACATCAGCAAAAAGATTCTCACAGTCTGCGGCCGTTACATGAATATATGTACGTGTATATTACAATCACGCTTGTATGCGGATATCAACATAATATTAACAGACACAATGCCCGAATGTGTTAGTGATAACACAATTTGTTTTAACACATTGTCGATTGCTTTGCACCTAAGAGTGTTTGTTTTCCCTTCGTCAAGGGTGAAAACGATCCGGTCTAACCCGACAATCACTAGGACAGCCTCGTCGATGCTCTCACCGATACTGATATACCCACCGGATTTGTCTAATAGCAGGTAAATAATAACATTTAATATATATTTATTTGATTAGCAAAATTCACAATACATGTTTTTGGATACTAAATTTTCAATAGGGATTTAAATCAATCGTTAATTGAATTGAATAATATGAAATTATATATATGTGATATATAAATGATGTATAGTTCTTAGGGGCTCGTGACTCCACACGGGGGGGTAGGGGGTTGGGGGTCGACTACTCGTCTGTAGATGGCCCGAGGTATGTCGGGGCACCAGGGACTTCCTTACTAGGGTATACCTGGTTCCCCGGCTATTAGTACCCGAGACGGCGTGCGGCTTTAGTCGGTTCGAGTCCGACATGCCACCGATAGGTGGTATCCGAGGGGATTTCCGCACGGAAAAAAAGGGGCTCGTGACTAACTGGTAACACATTGGTTACAACATTAAAGGTTAACACATTGCAAAGTTAAGCATTCCTAGCCAGGCCAGTCTATGGATAGGTGACAATTTCTTAACACGTTGAGACCCTTCTGTGTCTCGGAGAGCAAGTTGACCGGTCGGTCCCGGTTGCCATACGAAATTTGTGGCAATCGTTACTGGTAGTCTTAAAAAGTCCGACAATACTTTTTCTACAGAACTTCGATATCGCCTAGTACTTGGGTTGTGTAGGTCTGACAGCAGTCGCTCCGCGTAAAAATCGACCTTGGGGTAATTAGGGAAAAAGGCTGGGAGGAAAGAAAAGTTTCACAGTTATACGCTTTTAGCATATATTTAACGTTCTTATTAGAAGTCAAGACCATATCTTAAAATAATGACAATATCAACACGGTAATGAAACGTCCTTGTGGTGTACGTGGACCGGGGGACGGTACGGGGAACACTTTTGTACCCTTGCAACTACGCAATAAAGTACTTTTAAAAAAAAAATACTACGCGTCCGTTAAATGTACCGTATGTTCAAGGTCTCTTTCAGTAATCAATCAACTCCTCAGTTTTACTAATTAAGATCATTATATGATTTCATGGTACCAAATGGCTACCAACTGAAGTGTATTGCGTTGAAAGAACATTAAGACGAATACGAACGAACATTCGGTGAAAATATAGAGGAGAACCTTATACAATGTTTTTAGAGTAATCTCTAGGTTAGAGTAGGTTATAATGTATTTTCTTAACCTTGACTTCTAGAAAGTTCTCCACGTATGCACTTTAATATTATTAGAATGTGCACAAATAATAAGTAGGTACTGAGATTGCATACAAAAGCATGAATTAGCAACAACTAATGGAATATTTTATAGTTTTTATATTCTATAGAATATTAATAGTAGTATACTATATAAACTTAAATGAACTTTTGAATTGCAAAAGGAAATGTTTACATTAAAATATTGCATTCTATGAAACATCGTTTTATTAGACTGTTTGTTTTATGCACTAAATAGCACATAAATATATTGATTAAAACATAACAATTTAAGTTATTTTTTAATACGTTTTAGATGTTCTTTTCAGTCAGTTTCGGTATAGGTGACGGTGGTTCAAGTAATTGTAAAATCACTACAACTATGATCAATTCGAACCAAAAGAACATGTATTACGGCATGCCATAGCTTTTAAGTACTTATTCTAGTTGACAGCTCGGCACTTTTCAAATCCTTAACACCAAAGCAAGAAGTGACATTATTTCAACCTGTATCTGTTCAAAATCACGTAGCCTATGAACTTTTACAATTAAATGAAGATACTCAATCATATATTAACGCTGCTTCTTTTAACACTCGATATGATAATAATTTATATTTCTTAAGACCTTTATCACTTAATAATATTGCCTGTAAGAAGTATATTAGTTAGTTAGTTAATAAAAGACAACTCCCGCATTAGGAATATATCCTGTGTCGCGGGGGACTTTACAAACATACATGAAACGGACACAAAGAACACCCAGACTCAGAACAACAATTTGTGGATCACACAAAGTGTCGTCCCATGTGGGGTTTGAACCCACAACACTCGGCGCTGTTTTTTATCTTAACTTACATCAGAAGGACTTGACAAGTAGATAAATACTCTTCCAGCATAGAAGCCAGAAGCTATAAGTACGATTAGTAACTATTACCATTTTTAACCGATTCTTTACAAGCATTTAGGTCATATTCCCGTTACATATCGTTCGGTGATCGCTTGGTGGCAAGATTGATTTAATTTAGGTGCTGAACTCCCATTACTACAAGTAAAGGGTTAGAGATGTCCAAGTATCGGCCATAGACAAATTCTCGTCGGTAAAGTAACTCAGTAGAGTATCTGTCACTACTGTCTTGCATGCACTCTTTACTTATTTACTTTTTATTAATAATACTGAAAAATTTACTTAGAAGAAGTACAAAGATAGTATAATATTATGTAACTTATTTCGAAGTGATAAATGAGGCAAGTTGTTATAAATGATGTGGTTATTTTTTAGTACAATGCCCAACACGCCATCCACAGATGAGATGGACAATAATGACACGCTGCTAAACAGACGGAGTTCTTCAGGTGGTCTATTATCTCCAGAGGTAAGTAGTGTAATACAGTAATAGCATTTTAAATTGCAGGATAAGCCTACTGATTAAAGATTTTTCAGAATTGAGTTCGAGGACGCTTTCGGACACGTGCCTCAAGTGGGACACGGGTTCAAACCCCACGAAAGCCCATCCCTAAAATAATCAGTTAATCACCTGTAGGGGTGATTTATAAAAATACTTGTAAAATTTGACAGTCAGACAGACAGAACACCCTATACCAAGTCGTCTGGGCAGGGTGGTATAATAGGCAAAACCTTTTTTCTAAGGAGAGACCTATGTCCAGCAGTGGACTATTAAAGGCTGTTGATTGATGATGTGACAGTCAGATATAAAAAAAAATTGCAGGTGGACATGCCCAATGTGTCTCGGTCTTCAATTGACGTGGAACACGACGGGTTCTACCTACTGAAGAAGGACTCACAACGCCGCCTGACCCTGTCACGGGTACTAGAACAAGACGCAGAGACTATTTGTAACAAGTGGATGCTCAGCATTACCCAGGATTTCGGTACTACAGTGTTGACTATGGTTCGTATAATATCGTATAGACTTTACAAACAAGATGAAGAATGCACATTGTGGTATTTTTTATAAACTGTCAAAACGAGAAATTTCTAGTACAGTTACTGTTAATTAGGAATGTTAACAGCTCTGCATCCGTGTGGTGACGGATTAAGAATACGGAATGTCACCACCCCTATTCATCCCATGGGTGTCGTAAGAGCCGACTAAGGGAACATACTGCACAGGACAACAGCACTGCAAAAAGAAGGAAAACTTGAAACAAACCCTATACCAACCCTTCTGGCCAGCGTGGTATAGTAGGCCAAAACCTCCTTTCTAAGGAGAGGCCTATGTCCAGCAGTGGACTATTATAGGCTGTTGATGATAATGATTATGATGAACAGCTCTGTATGTTGTTAGATTACCAAAATTAGAGCCCAAGAAAGTTTAATTAGACTAGTATTTTTATCTAGTTCAACTAGTTTAATATGGGGACAAGTCTACGTGTTAACTTAGCAGGCATTCTATATGAATTCCTTTCGTAAACGTCTACGCCGTTCACGCTTGACGTTAGTCTTTAAATGTATTGTTGTTAGTCTAGTGTTATTAAAATATTGGTGATTAAATAAAATAAAATGCAAGTGTAAAATACAACTTAATTAAAATATTTTTTGTTATTAGTATTTTCAATAAATCAGAATATTTTGTTTCATTTAATAAACACAATACCTGTAACTAGCTACATAGTTCTAGTTAACATTAATATAACTTAGTCTTTATTACGACATTAATGCCACTTTAATGAATTAAATATGTAAAAATAAAAGAAAGCATACTAAAAAGAAAACTGAACAAGGATTATTTTGACCAAACTTAGAAACTTACCTTTAAAACTTAAAATTAGTACAAGTTTATTATTTTTCGTCATTTAACCAAAATAAAAACCACTAAACTTTGTAAGAACTGTTACTATACCTGAGTAACAAATATTTACAAATCTATATTTAAAATATTACTTAATTTATTTTTCCAGAACCATCTAGAAACTCTACGTTGTGCTCTAAAAGATTACATCATGGATCAGAATAAAGCAGTCATAGAGCAGGCTATCACAACCTTAAAAGAGGAACTAGATTTCGACTCCAACGCGATTAATGAATTACATTCAGCTATATACATGTTCCAAGAGGCTGTGAACGCGGTGTTGAGAATGCATAGTATCAAACCTCATTGGATGTTTGCGTTGGACAATCTAGTGAGGAATGCTGTGCAGGCCGCTATCACTGTTTTGTCACCAGGTTCGTTATATATTGCAGTTATAATTTAAACATTCAAATAACGATTATTTGATTAAGTTCTGGTTCCACAAATCGTAACTTTTATTTCTCCAAATTTAAAACTACGATTTATTTAGTAAAGTAACTCGTGCACTTTCGTAGTTGCGTTCGGAACTCGTAGTAACAGCCCTTTTTCCAAGACTGGCTTTGAAGACTTTATTTATTTGAAGTTGATATTTTTATACATTTTGTAAATGAGAGTTTTTATTTAGTACTGGTAATCTGTTGTTAAGGTGTTTAGTTTGGTAATCTATTTGCTCCTAAGAATCCTTTGCTCCTAAAACGTATCATATATATAATCAAGCCAGGCCTACTCCGCAGGTATGAAGCCACAAGTGGTCTGGTAATAAAGCTGTAGGTGATTAGCGCTGTACGAGCTGAATTGCACTTTATTCCGTCCCAGCAACTCACCATTATTAAAATAATTTAACTGGAACTTCTTGACTAGTCCTATAATGCATTATGTGGTCATTTCGCCATATGATTTAAAATTACAATCGCATTCGTATACGTTGCAGAACTGGGTGCAAATCTGGCCGGTCAAGATTCTGGCGGTCGGAGATCGGGTCCGGTAGCTGCTGACACAACACCATCTGCAATGTCGTCCGCTGCATCTGCAAGAGACACGCATTCGTTGCACGCGTTGAGACTTGAGAACCACAAGTATGTCAAATTTGTTTCTTTTTGAGTAGACAGCTTCGCAGTTGGTTCAGTTATTTGAATTTAAAAATACCAGAGAGTTTTTTTATATTTATTTCTATATCTTTTATATGGTGCATGTATTGCATTCGATCATATATAGTGACGTAATTGAGGGACGTCACGTGGGGCACACGGAGTTTAAATTTATGTTTGATATTACTGTTACTTTTCAGATTACATCAGGAGTTATTAGATAGTTACCAGCAGTATCAGAGTTTATTGCGACAAATGCTTGAAGAACAGAAGACGCAAACTATGATATTGAGAGAATTAGTTGAGAAGAAGACACGGTGAGTACCTTTACTTAGTTTGTTGGAAGAATGTAAGAGTCTCAGTTACATCAACATTTTAGTTGTATCAAAGCCATTAAAAAAAAAACAGTTTTTTATTTAAAGAAAAATAATAAAGTATGAATGAGTAATTACTTTCTATTATTTTTTATGGCATTTGGACTGTTAATTCTACTGGCTATCGTGGTTTATGGTATTAGAAGTTTAACAACAGAAAAAATAGAGATGTGACGACCATGACTTTGGCTTATTAGTCGATTCGGTGTATAGTCGGTTAAGCTGATTCTGGTTTCGAGTTTCGCGACCGTGTCGAAATACCTTTAATTCATTTTGGCTGTTTTCATTTTAGTTTTAAATTGGTCGGAACGGTGTGTGTAAAAAATAGATATTATTATTATTCAATATTTATTTATTTATGGAATAATTTATTTAATAAACAAAAAAGAAAGTCTCGTGTACAAGGGAAGCGTATATGTAATGTGAAAGTGTACGATCGAGAAATACATACTAAGTAAAGAGCCGGATAGTCGGCGCTCTCGTTGAATAATCGACGACTACAAAAAGATCGAAGTCGGAACGTCTCTAATTTAAATTAATTCCACTATACACACACGCTGACGTATATGCGTTACAGGGACAGCACGCCGGAGGGTGCGGTGGAGGTGGCGGGGGAGGAGAGCGCGGAGGAGTGCGCGGAGGAGGCGGGGCGCGTGCGCGCGTGGGTGGCGGCGCGCGCGCTGCCCGGCGCCGTGGCGCGCGCGCTGCTGCGCCAGCGCTACTCGCTCGCCGACCTGCTGCACCACGCGCAACGCGAGGACGTCGCGCGCCTGGGGCTGCCGTCTGTACCCGATCTACTACTTTACTGTTACCCTCTATGACTAATTATAGAGAGCTGCTGTGACACCGGCCGCACACTTACATATCTTGCGAACTCTCGCGAGACTCAATGTTTCAGAACTGATCGTCGTCCCTGTCTAATTCTTAAACGGTCTCCGTTCTTTTTAGCCTAGTTGATTATCTGTTCATAAAAAGTGTCATCGAGAATAACATGGCAAGTCCCTTTATAATCGCTCTCACGCAGAAACGAAGTATTCTAAATATATAAGAACTGCAGATTACATTACATACAAAAACAATGTTTCTATCCTCGTAGTCCGTTACTGCCATAAAACTATGAATGAATCTACCCGATTTTAACCAAATGTTTTAAGTCGTTAGTTACCTAAATATTTTTCTACCATTTTTCGATACTGTGAGATAATAATAATAATAATAATACATTTTATTGTAACAAATGATACATACAATTCAAGTGCAAGCCCTGATTCCCAAACTAGCGTGAGCTGTATATCGGGGATCAGTTCCTTCCCAAAGACATGATACAATAAGTTGTTACAATAATCACGTGGAACATACAAAGAAACATTGAAGAATACTTACAAAAGATCTTTTGTTAATTTTGCGTGTGCATGTGTGTGTGTGTGCCTGTGCGTGTGAGTGTGCGTTTGAGTGTGAGTGTGCGTGTGAGTGTGCCTATGCGTGTGCTTGTGCAAGTGCGCGCGCGCGTGTGTGTGTGTGTATGTATTTGTGTGTTTGTGTATGTGTATTAAAACCTGAACTACGTTCTTACCAGCAATAAGCTTTCTACATCATCGTAGGCCAAACTGTTAAGCCATATTTTAATTATGTTTTTAATTTGGTAGTTCGATAAGTGTCTGGTTTTGTAATCTAAATTAAGTTTATTATATAGCCTTGGTGCAATGTTACTATATCGCTGTTGAGCAAATTTGCTTTTAACCCTTGGGATTGGACATTTGTCTTTTCTTTTACCCGAAGGTTGGAGAAGAGGTACTGTATGCTTGTGATATTTGCGGATACATTGATAGACAAACATCTTTCGTACGCTTAAAACTTCAGCCTTTTCATACACTAGATGAGTAGGGTGACGGAATGGTAAGTAAAGGAGTACTTTAAGAACAGCCCGTTGTGCTCTTTCGACCTCAATCAAGTATGTTTTTGCAGCTGAGCCCCACGAACATATACAGTAGGTGATTAAACATTCAGCTAGGGCTTTGTACGTTTGTATTAAAAGTGTAATGTCTGGTATAATTCGTAAATCCTTAAAAATGTAAATAAACTTCCTTAGTCGACCACTAACTGTGTTTATGTGTTTCTTCCAGTTTAATTTGTCGTCAATATTTACCCCTAAATATTTGATTTCGGTTGCCCTTGACAGCTCAGGACAACTGCAACGTGCACACAGTTCGATTGTTGATCGGTTACATGGATGACAATGTATGGATAACTGGAGTGTTTTTGGCGAAGATGCCATAGTTTTACTAAAACATAGGAATTTTGTCTTGTCCACATTTATTGATAGTAGACTATCTTCAAGCCAAGCTGTAATACGAGACATACCTTTTTCAGCTATTTGTCGTACATTCTCCCATGCATTACTATGAAACAATACCACTGTGTCATCGGCAAACATTTGTATGTCAGCACCCTGAATTTCAAATTTACATAGGTCGTTAATATATGCAAGAAATAGCGTAGGACCAAGAGCGCTGCCTTGTGGAACCCCATATGACCCCATACAGGTGTTACTGGTATGGTTTTCAACTCTAACACACTGGTATCTTTCTGTGAGATAATCTTTCAACCATAGATGTGCGTTTCCCCTAATGCCTAGATTCTCAAGGCGAGTTAAAAGGATCGGAATAGAAACGGTGTCAAACGCCTTTTGTAAGTCAAGAAATACGGCTAAACATTTATCGCCTCTGTCAACGTGAGATGTAATATTAGATGTTAGTTGTAATACAGCGTCATCAGTAGAGCGATTTGCTCGAAAGCCGTATTGTTTCATACCAAGCAGTTTATTGCTTTCCATATAACTTATTAAACGCTTGTTCATTATTTTCTCAACTACTTTAGAGAGGGTACTCAACAGTGAAATAGGTCTATAGTTCGTGGGAAGATGCTTGCTTCCTGATTTATAGATGGGGCAGATAATAGCGTGCTTAAATATTTTAGGGAAGATGCCTCGTTCGAAGGTTAAGTTGGTCAAGTAGGATATAGGTTTGGCGAGGTAAAAACGAAACTTTTTCAAAAAGGCAGCTGTTATTTTGTCTAAACCTGGAGCACTATGTGATTTAAGGCCACTTATTACATCAATCACCTCTGCAGGGTCCGTTAGGTGTAGTGCCATGGAGTGTAACGGTTCATTTGTGATTTTTGCATTTTGAGCTAGGGTTGTCTCATCAGTATTTAAGTTTTGCAGAATTTTTTTAGCAAGGTTTGAACCAACCGATGAAAAAAACGCATTCACATCATCTAGCGATCCAGTTACATCAGTGTTTATGTTAAGCAATTCAGTAGGCGATGCCTTATTCTGTTTCATGTTACATAATTCCTTAATCGTGTTCCAAGTTTCCTTTATATTACCTTTGTTTTTGTTAAGTTTGTCCATGTAGTAATTTGTTTTCAACGTTTTAATTACCCTTTTTAATGTATTTCTATACGCTAGGTATTTATCTTTTATTTCTAGATTATTGGAATTTAATTTTACTTTCTTATGCATTCTATCTCGTCTACGTATAGATTTTATTACACCTATAGTTATCCAAGGTTTTAAAGGTTTGTTACGCTTTGAAATTTTGTCAACTAAGGTGTTGCTGTTTATAAAGCTTTCTAATTTTTCAGTCAGTATTACGGCAGCTTGATTAACATCGGTTACAGAGTATAGATCACTCCATGATTCCTTCTCCATGCATTTACCTATACCACCGATATCAATTTTGCTTATATTAATATGTTTATTTTGCTTAGAAATGGGCGTGTAATCAATATGCAGTAGAATGGGTGAGTGATCCGTTAATTCCTCAAAAACAAATGTTTGTACTTTTGCAGTTGCTTTTATCATAAAATGGTCAATACATGTATTTTGTCTAGTGGGACAATTAATTCCCTGCTTCAGACCGTGGCTTGCTGTTAGATTTAGGTATATTGCAGAATTAGCATTAAGATTATCTGACATTATATTCAAATTTAAATCACCAGTCAAAATAAGTACTTTATTCGAGCTACATGTTTTTAAGATATTATCTAGTGAATTTATATAAGTAAGCGGATTTTTAAAGCAGGGTGGACGGTAGGTGCAAATAATACATATGTCATCCGCAATATTCACCACAATACAGTTTCCTTCAGAACATTGGGGTTCAAATGAATACGCCTCAAACACTTCTCGAACATAAACTACAACACCATCGTTTTTGTTCAACGAAACATTTGATCGGAACATTCTGTAGTTATTTATGTTTGGCGGTAAAATTTGTTCATTAGTCCAACATTCTGTTAAAACAATTACATCTACGGGTTTAGAAAATTTAAGGAGAAACATAAGAAAAATGTCGAAATTTGCTTTTATACTTCGTATATTAACTGTTAAAACTAATAAGGAGTCATTGTTGGAACATTTTATCATTTGTAAACATTCAGTAGGATCACTCAATTTTCTGCACTCAATACTTTCTCTGTCGATCTCATTTATTACTGTAGTACTTATAGAATTGAATTTTATTTAATATGAAATACTATGACACTGTTCAAAATAATATAGGGTAGTTTGCAAATATATGCGCAACAGACATTCGAGTAATTTATAAAAGTAATAGTCAGTAGGGTACACGCTGTAAGTAAATAGTTAAGTATGTTTATCATAGATGTAACATTTATTAGGTTTATATTGTGAATCGATTTGCTTACTGAATACTCATTTCTGTTAAAGTCGTTTGGCAAGTATATTTTTAAGAAATTTGAATTCCTTTTATATTTCGGTGATGTTACGATATGCAATGTATGTAATAAGAAAGTGATGTATTTGGGTATATGTTTATATTGTTTTTGAAACATTAGTTTTGTAGAAATAAGTAGGTCATGTAATGAGTTGTGGATGTAGTGGAAATGAGATTTAACTGTGTGCGTGTGATTATAGGTGTGTATTTTACAATATATTAAAATCAAATAAGAAACTAAAAATACGTTATACATTTTACTGATAGGTGATCGATACCTGCTATCAGTCCCTAGTCATATTGATTTACCTACATTATCAAGGTCTGATTCAGTTTTTATAGTGTAATATCGCTCTCCATCTGTTTTTCGCATGAGGATTTTGCCGTAAGAGGTCCAACAGTATTTAAAGCCATTGCTGCTCGCAAAAATTCGAGCTAGATAGTACAAGCGCTGCGCTTTCGGCGTTAATTTTTCTGATAAGTATATTGGCTTACTGGGACCTGACACATTAAGATGCGTCGTATTTAGCTTGTTTTGTTTATTGTTGTTATTAAATTTACGTGCCTTTTTTACGATACTATTTTTGGTTACTGAACTTATGAAATCAACATTTATCGTGGTAGATTTGTCTTTGTTTTTGACTCGGTAGACATCTTTTATTTCTGATAAATTCAAGTTATGCCCAATCACAGCAGCAGTCTTCTCCACAATAGCACAAAGGTCCTCCTTACTCTCTCCAAGGTTTTGAGGTACGTTTCTTATCTCTATTTTAGTGGAGTACAGTTGGCGCTCCATAAAGTCCACTTTCTCCTCTAATTCACGCATATGACGACGGTCGTTTTCTCGTTCAGTCTCCATATTTGTGAATTTAATTTTAATGTCATCATATTCTTTTGATATAAAGTTGATGGAATTCATTATCTCGGCATTTTGAGCAATAATTTCTGAGGTTGCTATTTGTAATGCTGAAAACTTGCTTTCCCATTGAGCTGTAGATGTCGATAACAAGGCGCGTATTTCATCCAAACGAGACATGCAATCACACTCTTCGCGTTTACGTTTTAGACGAGTATTAATATTGGCCTCTTGTCCAACAGTAGTCAGATCAGGGGAGGATCCAGTTTGCCGATACCTTAGAGAGCAGGAGGCAACAGTGACGCTTTCACTTTGTTCCGCAACAGGCGTACTTGGGGGTGTGCGTTTCAGCGGCATAATTAATAGAAGTAAATTACCTTGTGTGATATATTCCGTCCAACAAAACAGACCGCCACCCGCTGTCGCTTATAAATCGTGGCAAGCCACACGCCCGGTGACGTTTCCGTAAGTACGGTATGCGCCTGCGCGGCGACCGCAGGGATGCCGTCTGAGGTGTTGTTGTCCTGCTCCTGCGCCGACCCAATGCATTGATCACTCTTGAATTATGCGCGCCTAGTACTTTATGATTTTAGTTACGCTTATTTACACAATTTATCTTATTTATTTATTAAATTTTCAACAAAGTGCACACGTATGTTCGCTTTCGCGATCCGAAGGGAAGATGAGAGTAGAGATGGACGATATACATCGATTTATTTAAAACACTCGATGTATAGTAACGATGCATCGTATTAAACCGATGTATTTTTAATACTTCAACATCGAATATATATCGATGTTTTTTATTCGATGCATCGACCAAGCAAATTATGAATGAGTATAGTGTTGTATAGCCGCCAAATAGCTATAGTTTATTGAACGGGGTTCTTTTAATTCGCCCGTTGGAACGCTGTAGGTCGTTCGACTCGTATTATTCGTTTGTTCGCGGGAAAATTAAATTAAACTTGATTTTTATTATGTGAAAATACTAGATTATGAATTCGCTTTAAATAAATACTCGCTGAATTTATGGTTAAAAGTTGATTACTTGCGCATAATCAACGTTTTATTTAAATGACAAAGTTACAAGAATTCCCGACACTAAATGTGTGCGAAAATTGTTAGCGTGGCTAACTGGATTCGTTCACCCCGAAAATTGATTCTGCTTCCTCGCCGCTAAGTCCCATCGTACCCTCCGGGGTCCTGGAGAATGGGAGGTCACCTGGTTAGAGAGGGTAGGTGGCGCAAGCGGGCAGAGGCCTTCTACCCCTGCCTGGGTGAAAACCATGCTGCCGTTTGACGTCACAAGGTCAGTGAGATTTCCCAGACCTGGTTGTCTCGCCTTGTTGACCTGCTCGAAGTACTCGAAAATAATCCCTTTATTGTCTCGCAAACGTTTTGGAAATAATAAACTACTTAGAAGATTGGTAAACAATGTATGATGGACCTTTTTTTATCTGCTTTTTACTTTCCAAAACGTTTGAAATCTTATTCTAAGTGACCATTGTGTGAATAAAAATAAATTATCTTAATTTATTACTTATTACCAGAAAATTCTAAATCTCTTAACATCACTCTTAAGATTCTTAAATTATTTCTGAAACTTTTATAATATTTGTATACGATTCCTTTGTGTAAGACGCTTTATGATTGATGATGATATTTCGGCGGGGAATTTCCGATTTCAATGTGTTTCGTGATATTTTCGGGATATATCTACTGTTTCGTCTGTCATCGTGGTGTTGCGACCCTTGGAAGCGGCTACAAAAGAAATTTCGGGTGATAAATACTGCACAAGTAGTAAAATTATTCCCTTAGTTCGTTGCATGCTCTCTAAAATAACTTTAGCTGTTATAGAAGATCCCGTAGCGAAGGAGGTGCAAAAACTTACTATTAATGAAATAAATAAAAGAATGGGTTCTATAGAACATGTGAGTGCTCTTGCTATCGCAAGTATTCTAGATCCACGGTTCAAAAGAATACATTTCAATGATGCAATAGCTTGTTCGAATGCTGTTTCGAAAATTAAGGATTTAATGAAGAAGAATTTGCAAAGCAATGAAGAACCTGAGTCAGATTCTGACAAATCCGATAAAAATTAAGAGGCCTTTTCATTATGGACTGATCACCATAAGTTAGTGCAACGTAACTGGAAAATTAACAAATCTGAAGATGTTTTGTCTGACGAACTTTCAGTTTATCTCAGAACACCTGTTGGAAGACTGAACGAAAATCCGTTAGAAATCTTGAGGGATTATAAAATACACAACACAAACAAAATAGCTTTCAAGTATTTGACAATAGTTGGCACGTCAGTACCTTCAGAAAGACTTTTTTCACAGGCAGGGCTAGTTTTGACTGAACGACGGAACCGACTGAAGGGGAAGAGATTAAGTAAACTCTTGTTTTTACATAGCATTGACAAAAAATATTGGAATATGTAAAGAAAAATGTGTTGGTTGTGTGATTTTGAATTTGAATAAATATATTTCCTGCTTTTATTAATATAAAATATATTTTTTAATTAAGGCCTTTTTTTTTTTAACGTGTGGAAATCCCCTCGGACCGCCACCCCACCGGGGTTTGCGGCGGGGTGGTGTGTCGGACTCGGACCGACTAAAACCACACGGTGTGCCACTCTGTGCCTGTAATAGGAGGGATCCGGGAACAGTTGTGAACAGGGCCAGCCGCGAGGGGGCGGCGTCCGCGTGTGCCGGGCGTCGCCTAAAGAGAGGAAAATTTTGAGACGGAGCCCGCACCAGGAGCGGGCTGGCGCTAGGAGGGGTCCGGATGTCTTAATTAAGGCCTAACCTAACCTAAAACACGTCATCGCGAAAATAATCGATGTTTAAGAAACATCGATGTATTTCTCAATACATCGTATTACCATCGATGTGACCGATCGATGCATTACATCGAAAAAAACATCGATGTATATTTTAAATGTCCATCTCTAGATGAGAGTATTTAAAGGCATAATAAAAAAAAGTATAATAAAACTTTGTGTTTTATTGTACTTATATTTGTATTAACGATGAACAAAAATATCGTGTTATTTTTTTTAAGGACAAAACAAAACAATAACTTATTATAAGTTATTGTTTTTTTTTGTCCTTAAAAAAGTGGAACTATTTAATATTGAAATTGTTTAACTTGACAAAAGCTTAGGTTATTACTTAAATTTTATTTAAAGCGTCTGTCCGAAATACGGCTAGCGCTGTGGGTTAAAGTAAGAGAGCGTGAGAGAAAGGGAAGCCAGTCCATAATATAACGAAGCGGTTTAGCCTCCCATAAGAAGTTATCACTTCAATAATTATCATTAATGACTAAAAAAGAGAAACCATTTTATCGTAAAAAAGCGTTTGGTGCAGAAGAAAGCAGAGAATCTCTTTACCAGAAATAAAAAATATAATCTATTACAAAACATCGAAATAACCAAAAATATTTTTTCAACAGAGGTGGCATAGAACTTCGACTTTGGCGCGCAATCCAGGAACACCGCTTGCACAACAGTCCGGCACACCTGCGACGGACGAGTAGCACCGAAACAGACATAGACAACAACAGTATCGTTGTCGTCGAGTGTAACCGCTGCAAGGCAACACGACGGACCTTATCTAACAACTCGTCGTGCTCCAACAACCCCACAGTAGTGATAAGAGATCAGCAGATGAATGGAAACGACTCGGTAGCTGACTATTATAGAGAGAACGGAGACGTCAACCTTTGACTACTTCGCGGATGGTGCACTCTGCAATAAAGGTCTCAGTATTGAAAGGAACGGCCAGTCAAACTATTAGGCACAGTACTATTAATGTTTTGAAGTAACTCACCATGTCGTCTCGTCACGGTATAGCAAAAGAAGAGCTTTGTTTGAAATGCTGTGGTTGGTGATTTGTTAATCGTTTTTCCCATTTTAAACCATGTAAAAGCCAATTTCAATCCTACTTTTTATAATGGGTGCTATTAACCATAAGTTTATCTTATTTTGTAACTCCAAATCTAAAGGAAATACGAAATAATTAAATACAAATATATTTTCTTTAAAAAACTATGCTAGTTAAGGTTTTCGGTTTTGTTTCCGTTCCTTAACCTTTCAGTTGCCTTATTACTGCGTCGTGCGTCTGGCTGTCTGTTTGTTTGTTTTCAGTCTGTGCTTCAGTTTGTCAAGTCATTTGATACATATAAATTTTCCTGACACAAACATAAAATTGTAGCGTAAATTGTAAATTAAGAAAAAGGAAGCAAATCGTATTTTTTGTAATTTTAAGAAAGTAAACTGGTCGTTCCTAAATTGTGAAAAGTAATAAGCAATTTTGAGACAATATCTACTGTCATAGTCATAGATCACACTTGTGGTAAATAAATAGTGTAAGTAATAACATTTTGTTATCGTAGAAATAATATTGTTAAAATTAGCTTTGTTAATAAAAACCCTCTAATGAGTGAAATTCTAACCCATCCGTCCAGTGAAAACTAAAAAAAAATACACTCTTGAATTGTCTGCTAGTGACTTCACATTTTTTCCCTTGTGCACACAGATTTTGTCAAAGTGGAACAGACAAAATCCAAACGGTGCTACGTCACAAGTATGTCTCTTGCAAGGGACCCGCGTATACTGCAAATCAAAAAGGCGGCTACACTATTCCAGGTTAATATTCTTGTGAACCTGGATAGGGTCAAAGGTATATCAACTCTAACCGTTTATGATAAGCTTTACTCACATCTGCGTGTCTGCAAGTAAAACTGATTCACAATATTTATTCACTTTCACTGGACTGATGCAAGACCATAAAACATGTAGTGTGTTCGCCATATCGAATTGCTGTTGCTCTTACAAAATTAACATTAAAAATTAATAATTAAATGCTTGAGGCCTAGAGTGTTATCATCCGTGAGACTCACGTGTAAATATAGTTTCATATTTATTAACATGTTATTGTTACTAGTCTTTGTAAATATTCTCTTTAAGCATAATAAGCTACGACGGTCTCGAATTTAGAAGGAATTTTTAGTAAATGGAAAATAACGCCGATATATTACATTTCATCGTATTTTCGTAATTACAATTAAAGTTAAAGGTAGGCCAAATCAAATTTAAAACAAAAGTGACTAAATTTAATGTCAATATATGGTAGTCACAAGATATAACGTATTTAATTATTTTTTTAATGAATCGTATTGGTCTAATCAAATACTTTATAAAAAATCTTGCCTTATGAATTCGAGACAAATAAAGATGGAATAATTTCAAACAAATTGTTGCACAATATCATAGAATGGTGCTATTGCCTTGTGATGATAATATAAAAAGTTTTGTGCCTTTCAGGGCTTAGTCTGTGTTCGTAGACAACAATATTATATGGTTCGTATTCTAAATGTGTGATTTTATAAAAGTTACGAATTGTTTAGTTAAAAGATCTTTAAAGCATTTTGGTCCTTAGGTACCTAAGACAACATTTTTGCACTACAGTTGCAGATTGTTCATTTATAACTGTATGTAAGCGCCATAGTAGATAATAAGATCTTGGGCGTATGTGATAAGGTAACAGTAGATTGGATACTTGCCTTACATTATGTATATATAATATACGTTTATAAATCGAACGTTTGATCGATTGACGTCACGTAAAATACACATATGTATATGACGTTTTTATCCGATATGTTTTTTGTGAATTTAGACAATTGCTAATGGTGTCCCGCTCTTACCCGCTGAGATTGTCAAAATAAAGGTACTAAAACTTACTTACATATTTTTAAGAGTTTTCTTGCTACTAAATTTGCACTGTCTGTGGTCATAGGCTTCCTTAGTCACAGTGTGACCACAGCATGGTCATCGAAACGTTAGTCACTTCAAAGAAATGTATTGCCCGTTGAATTAACTCTTATCACTATGACCATGTGAAATCCCGTACAAAGAAATTATTATACGTCGTGGAAAGGGAAATACTAATGAAGTGGTAGAATTCAATCATCCACGTCGATACATTACTTTTTTACGGTTCTTCAGATATTACCAATACATAGATGTCAATATTCGCAGTGTATGTTAAGTTACGCTACTTCCTGATAACATCCAACAAGCAACGGGTAATTTATCGTTATTAATTCTTCTGGTCACGACTTCTATCATTCGCCAGTGTATAATATCATACATCTCTGTGACTGTATATTTTCTCTAAGAGTGATCATAATTTCAACATGTGATAAGTACTACTGATATAAAAAGATACATAGGCAAAAACCAAAAGTAAAAAGATAGCCTTTTTGTTAGGCAGCATAAATCAATCATATTTAATATTGTAACTCTCTGAAACAGGTTTACAGAACCGCCTTGGTGCATGTCAACATTCACTGGTGAATGTTCGAATTAATAAAACAATTACGGATACACCATCGCAGTTGCTGATTCTCGATATAAATCGGTGCATACACTGACTAATATCGCAAATTTACAACACAAAAGTACGCAAAATACAACACATGAAGTGGAAATAACACACATGAAATGGATTGAGAGCGGGTACCTGAAATCTGAATAAACAATTACATCTCTATTTTATAAGACTAATAAAAAAGGAAAATAAGAGACATGGTTCTTTATTTTAATAACATGATATAGTTATTTCAAGTGCCATACCTACATATTATTCTATATCACTATATATTTTAAGATAATATATACTATATTGTTAATGCCTACAAATTTTATTGTAATAAATTTGATCTGATAACTAAACATATACTAAGTACTATTTATATGTTATACAAACATAGATAGTAATATGTTAGCTTCACATTGTGCCTATAAAACAAATAATCAAAATCTAATAAGAGATTCTTGTGTATAATTAATTTAAACAGCTCCTTATTTGATCAGTTAATTTCTTAAACTGTGGCGTAACACTGGTATAGCTTTATTAAAGTTTTTTTTAGTTAACAGTCGACGTTTTTACTCCAAATTTCTTATGATAGTCATGGTTAGTAGTAGGGATGAGTATGCATATGAATATAAGGGAAGGCCTGCTTTTAAGGTTAATTTTTACTTGTCACAAATCTCAGAAGTAGTTATAATTACTTCACACACGAAATGTCTCGCCCAATAAATATTGTTTTAACTCGGCTTGGCCGAGAGGTTTATGATATAACTTCTAACAATATTAAAACTAATTTCACCACAATATGAAATGAACATTCTAAACAGATAATAAACCAAAAAAACATGTATTTCTATTTCACTAATGGTAAATAGTCAACCATACTTGTCTTTGATGAATCTAATCCTCCGTATATTCACATATGTCATATCTCCGGTACCTCGTTCCTGTGATAAGCTATTGTACCCAATCTACTTGTGTTACGCTACAGTGTAATGTAACTAGCCAATCTAATACTCAGCAACACTGTTATGAAGTACAAATACCTTTCGTAAATAACACACCATATGTGTAAAAATAGATATAATATAGTATATACATATATATATATATATATTTACTAAAATCTAAACATACGCTTTGTTAAAATTCATTCACTTGAGTTTGTTCTTAGTTTTATTTAGATATAAGTGTTATTATATAATCATCTCGCTAAATTGTTAATACGAACTAAATAAGTAGGTTCTACTAAATTTATAGCTTTAATGTAAAATCATTAATAAAGTAAGCTTAATAATTGTTTTTGTTTGGATTTTTAACTAATTATTTGTATTTCATTATAATATGGAACTGTTCAACATAAATAGAAATTAGTATTATATTCATAGTTAGTGTAGCAGTTTAGCTTCCTTCGTGAGAAGGTATCATATTCAAGATGAAAGCAAAGTAAGCGGGAAAGCACGGTATATATTGTTTATCATTAAATCAAAAGCCGAATGCCTTAGTATTTTGTTTTTCGAAATTTCAGAGTTTATTATGTCGTTTCATTTGTGTGCTGAAATAAAAATCTAATACAAGACGCATTTTTGTTATTAAACAGTTATCCTTAAGACTCAGAAAATGTAAGAAAATCAATTAAGTTCTGTTACAACAGGTCATTATAATATTCTAGGATCTTAATACAACATGATGATTATTATGTTGATTTAGGATAAAAGGCGACATTATCCACATTTTCAATAACATTTGCAACATACAGTAGAGGGTTATACCCCTTTCAAAATAAATGCTACATTTCTGTAGAATCTGCCCGTTTAATTTTATATGATTTCTTTGAGTAGCTATTTAATAAAATATTAATTGAACCATGTGTTTTACTTTAACTGTTAAATCTATCTAAAAGTAGGTAAACACCGACGGACTATTAGTTTCCAGCACACAATGCCACGTCGGCTAATTTCGACATATGGCCACAACATGAAGTCTTAGCCTAAGGAGGGAACAAGGAGTACAGTGTTTACTAGCAACGACTAAAACAGCGGGCATTTATAGTATGATTGTGATTATAGAACTTTCCAAAAGAAAAGTAGTTACTCTCTTTCGTTTTCGCTTGTTTTTTTCATAATTATTTTACGTTAACAGGTAATACGTGTTTTACCCTCCCGAAGAATCCGACAGAATCCAACAACAACAAACGGTGTAACTCTTTGTAATTCCTCGGGGCAGGTTTGCTTGTATCATTTGACATGACTCTAGAATGTAAAATTTAAAAAAACTATAATATATATATAGCCATGATTGCGGAGTGGTTGGATTGCAGGTGCATGGGTAGCTGCAGCGCCGTCTCTCA